TGAAGCCTCTCACTGCCCCTGAGCCTCTGGCCTGTACCCCAGTTCTGTATGTACAAATAAATAAATCTTTAAAAAAAAAATCTCCACCAGAAAAAGGGAGCGCATAGGAGACGTGAGCTGGCTTGCACTACAATAAAGCCTCTTGTAAAGGCATGTCCATTCCAGCACCAAATCCAGTTATGTCTGAAAGCAGAGAAACCATGTCTAAATAAGGGTAATTTCACTTTGAGCTGGTAGAGAAAGCTTAAAAGAGAATTTACTGTTTCCACACAGGCACGGAAAATAGGGTCGGGAGAGGTTCGGAATTCCCCTGAGACTTGGACCAAACAGGGCCCAGAATGATGTTCCCGCCACACCCACCTTGGGGTCGATCTCAGCAAGAACATCACTGAGCACTTGCAGGAGTTGCATCGGCTCCAGGGAATCAAACGTGATGAGGTTGTAGCTCTTCCTGAAGGGCTCCGTGCTGAGGCTGTCCACGATGAACTTGATTTGGTCACTCATAGCTGGGTCTGACCCTTTGCGGGAGAATTAAGAGAAAAGAGGCCTCAGTGTGGACAAGTTTGGGGGCCGTCAGCATCAAGTTCACAGGAAGTGGGTGTGAAACTAGCTCTCCGTGGCCCAGAAGCGCAGCGCGAGGGTGACCTTGTTGAGGGCAGCGACAAGAAGGCTGAGCAACGAGCATCAGCGCTTGGTGCCAAATGCTTTGGTACAGCAGCGGACGCGGCGACAGTTGTCAGCACTAGCTCTCAAAGACCTCGGACTAATGGGTCCATCATCCGACCTATTATAGCGAAGAGCGAGCCCCGGCATCTCTGCTCCAGCTCTAACTTCCCCTCGGCCTGAGCCCTGCCGTGCTGCGGGGCTCCTCCAGGCCGCTGCCACTCTGTCTCGCTGCTGTCCACTGACCCGGTTTTCCCACTGCTAGTTCTGTTTTTGGAGGTTTTCGTTGTAGAACAGATCTTGGCTTTCACTGATCCTCTCACTTTTCCGTGTCCTATTTCTGCTTTTTCTTGACTACTAGCATTCTCTTGCCACGAGTTCCCGGTTCCTCTGTTCCTTCCCACCTTCTTCATGTACAATACTTAGCTTACTCGCTTTCAGCTGGCTCTTGTTTTACTTCAATTTGGGGCGCTACACTTTGCCCTTCCCTGTATGCACATTCCACTCACCCTCGACCGATTCTCTTTTTTAACAGCCACCCGTGTCATTCTCATAGCCTGTAAAATAAAGCCCAAACTTTTTGGGCTTTAGACTCTCTCGATCTAGTTCAATTTAGCTTTTCTCAACTTTATTTCCAAGTTGTTACCTTGCTCTTTCCAACTTCAGGCAACAGAAATAGTCACTGCTTCCTCATAGATGTGACATCTCTGCCTTCCCGCTAATACTGTTTTTTTTTTTTTCCACCTAGAAGGTGGAAATTCTCTGTCCCCCATCTCCAGAAGTGCATTTTTAAACTATTTTTACAGCGGTCACCTTTGTTCAGGCCCCCTGCACGTTATTGAGAGGGTCACACCCCATGGCACCAGAGCCCCATTGTAGCTGGGAGCTAACACAGCTTTATCCAAATTCTTTCTCACTGACTTGTGCACTCCGTTACCACTGTGTTAGCAGGGGGATCAGTGGTAGAAATTTTGCGGGCACTTTTTAATCTCATAGGCATTTAAATGAATTTTGAAAATTCCAAATGAAATGCTAAAAAATTAAAGAAAACATTACTTCAGAGCTTTTAGCCATGAAAGGGGCAGATGCTGTTTTATCGGAGATACTAGCTGGGGAAGCTCTGAAATCGCAGGTCTCAGGTTGCGCGTGGTGCCGGACATTACGGCTCACATCCGAATGTAAAGCTATAGTTTCCCCCCAATTTTGATAAAACTATGAGTAACTCCATATCTTATCTTTAAAAAACATAAGCCAGTGGACGGCAGCCGGGATAACCAATGGAATTCACAAATTCGAGGTTCCCTTTAAGCTATAAAAAGAACCTCAACCAAAAATCCACATCGGAGAGGCAAGCTGCCCACTGTTAATTTTACAGAAAAGTTCAGCCAAGACCTTCACGTGCATATGTTTAATGGTTGAAACATTTACCATTGGAATCGGGTCCTCCCTGGGGCGCAGGGGTCAGTCTCTGCACTAGGCAGCCATCTGGGCCACTACACCAGGGAGGGACCCCCCCCACCCCACCCCCCGGGCGCAGCAGAGCCCTCTCGTCCCCTCAGCAGTGTGTTTCTGGGGACCCGCCTGGCCTGTCCTGCTCCCCGCTCTGCCTCTGGGGTCCTCTCACCCAGCACCTGCGGCCTGCACCCAGCTCTGTGTGCATAAGTGAATGGCTTTAACGAAGAACTCGGAGCCCCACTCCTCCCGTGGGAACAAGCGGCGCAACTGTGAACCACCGCGGCGGGGAGTGGGGGGCGGCAGCAGCGGGGTCTCCCAGCGCCCTGGCCAGCCGTGGGGTCACCGGGCGCGGCGGCGGGTGTCTGCCCGCGGTCTCTGCTCTGCATCGGCAAAGCAGCCTCGGCCGCCAGCCGGGCGGGCGCGCGGACCCCGACGGCGCAACGGCCCCGCGGGCTCCAGCGACGGGCGCTCCCCAAGACTGCGCGCCCGCTCCGAGGCCGGGGCCCCCGCCTCCGACAGGCCCGCGGGGAAGCGACGGGGAGCGCGGTGGAGGCCGAACCCGGGCCCCCACACAGGAGTTCCCCGCGATCCCTAAGGGAGAGGGCGGGGTTCTCGGGGGCTCGGGGCGTTTCCGACCGCGGGCTGGCGAAGTTACCTCCAATTGTCCTCACGAAATCACTTTTCTTTCCCCACCCCCCAAAATCTTTGGGGTGTCAGAGGGTTGCTAGAGATGGGCTCCTTGGTAACGGTTGCTAGGCCGTGTTACGTCATTTCCGGAGGCGGACCCGGCGCGGTTCCGGGGCGGGGCGACGGCCAGCTGGTGGGGCGGGGCCGAGGGACGGGGCGGGG